GTGGATTAAAAGCAGCTTAAATTAAAAACGGAATCCCTTGAATTTAATTAAATGGCTTCTAAGAATGGTTTTAAAGACATTTAAACAACGTAGAAAAATTATGATACATCTACTTTGTCGAGTATATCTTAAAATCCTACTAGTTCATCTTCTTTTAAAGTTATAATTTGTAACAACTATTAAAATTTATAAATCACTATATTGTGCCCCTGAAATTAATATAATACTGTATGTTAACTATGCTAGAATTAAAATTTTAAAATACATAATAAAATTTTTGTAAATGCTTAAAAATAAAGTGCTAAAAGAAAAAACAAATAAAATAAAAGTAAAAATGAAATACTATTATCACAACTATAATGTTAAATTAGCCAAACAAGTAAATAAAAATTGAGTAAACAATGCAATTTTACCTGGTGCACTTTTATTAATATTCTTGTAATTTAAATGTCCCTTATTCTTTGGAAAACCTCCCTTAGTTTACCTGATTATGTATGTAGTTTCCTTATAATACCCAATATTTAAATGAATATTCATAAATCAATCATCTCACTCACATTTTAAAAATGCAACTGCTGAACAAACCATGTTTAAGTTTTTCAGCTATGCTAGTATATGGATTCTCCAGAAATAAAAATACTTACCCAAGAGCTTCTAAATATTTTTCTGGCAAATAAAATCTGTAGTGAAACTTAAAACAACTAGACACCATTATCTAACATTCTGAAATTTTCACTTTGCTTACAGTGATAAATAAAATAAACCTATCTGTTGTTTGACAAGGGAAAGAATGATTTGAACAAGAGAATAGTATATATAAATTGATGATATTTAGAAGAGTATAAAAGAAGATTATAATTTTTGCAAAAGCTAAGTGAAATATTTTGTTTTATTTTTCTTTTTTGGTCAATAATAACTCAAGATGTGAATCAGGTTCCTGTGGTGGCTCTGTGAACACCATTACAAGCATCAATCATCAATGACCCAGTGAAGTCCAGAACTAAGTTAACAAAGAAAGAAAAGGGATTTTTTCCACAGACATAGGTAACTTTATATTTGTATATTCCATGGGTTCTAAAAGCAATAATAAAATATTAGTTTTTCAAATAAAATATTATATAGAAGTTTGGTGATCAGAGACTACCTTGAATCAAGTTATTCATTGCAAGATTTAAATGACATCTAGTCTAGGTCCCCATGTTACATAGGAATCATGGCATCTGATCATAAAGACCCCAAATGATAGGGGCTCATGAACTCACAATATAGCCAGTCCGCAGATTTTTGGAAGGTTATGTTAGAAAGCTCATTTCCTCCTCCTCCTCCTCTTCCTCCTCCCCCCCCTCCTCCTTTTTCTTCTTCTTCTCTCTCTCTCACTTTTATTTATTTTTTAATGTTTTATTTATTTCTAGGAGAGAGAGAGAGACAGCGTGAGCAGGGGAGGGTCAGAGAGAGAGGGAGTCACAGACTGAAACAGGCTCCAGGCTCTGAGCTGGCAGTCAGCACAGAGCCCGACGCGGGGCTCGAACCCACGAACCGCGAGATCATGACCTAAGCGAAAGTTGGACGCTTAACCGACTAAGCCACCCAGGCGCCCCTCTCTCACTTTTAAAAAGCTCATGTTTTTAATGTAGGCAAAGATGCTTCATCTTTTAATATTTTCTATAACGTTACCTTAGTTTTGCCCTCTGACATTATCATAAGATAGTCCAAATTCCTTTTCTTACTTGATACCTTTTCAATATTTAATGATAGCTTTCATGCCCTCACTTTTCCAAGTTAAGTCTTACTATCAGATTTTATGGATTATATCTATAATACCCAATCATCTCCCTTTCTTTCTTTTTTGGATACATTCTTACTTTTAGAGTAATAGTTTGCCAGGGTCCCACTTAAAATGTAGTGCTCAGAAAGAAAACATTAAATGTGGTCAACACCGTAAATCATAGTAAGACAATCATGTCCTTCAGTAGGATGCTATCATTAGTTCAATTTCACAACACATTAACTTTCCACTACAAATACCGAGCTCCTGCCAATAAAAGCATGTCATTAATTGTGTAGTGGGTTTCTTGGACTCAAAACCAGAACCTTACATTTGTATCTACTGCTGTAAGATAATATCATGACATCAAATAAGTTAGCAAGAATCCCTGTATTTGAGCCTCTGGTATGTTCTACTGAAAATTACCAACATACTCTATTTGCCTTCCTACCTAACTCATAGATCTCCAGTTTTGTACAGTATTGAGCTACACTGACCGAAAATCAATGTTTACATTAGCCTATCGCAAGTCGTAAGCTGTAAGAATCCCCAGTGAAAACGTTGTCTCGAATGGCAACTGACATTTAAGAAATTTTGTCGGTGACTTCTTTTTCACTTGTTTACTTTTTAAACTGATTCTATAGAGAAGAACATCTCCCTACAAGTGTTCCTCAATAGTGGGTCACGCAGTAAGATTAGGGTGCTGCTCAAAATTCAGGCAATGGAACGCTCAATTCCTTCTCTGAGGCAGGACAAACATGTAAAATCAACAAGAAGCCTTCAGCCTGATAGGAATTTGCATAGACATACATATAGCACATGAAATGTGAGTTTGATCTACAGAACGTACACAAATCACGTGAGGAAGACAAAGATTTGTTATTTTATTCTAGTTAAAGTTGTCCTCTTTCCAAGAAACTTTTATCTCACTCTTCCCCTCTTCAGGCCGTATCTTCCTTTCAGCAAAAACAGAGTTAATGAGAGTTCTGCAAGACGCCGTCTCCCGCCGTCCCCACCACAGCCTTCCAGTGAGGCTCATCTCAGCCAGGTTGAGGCTGAGGGCGGCTGAGCTGAAACCAGCTGGCTTTTCCGTCCAACTCCTCCTCAGAAACACACCCCTCAAATCGGAAGCCAAAAGAGCCCAGCCACAGAGAACTTGCACTCAACAAGGGCAACCCCTGAGGAGAGAACCTTCGGGCAACCGCTTCTCTCCTCCCGACCCCCAGCGCTAGAACCCGCTCCCAGCGCCGCGCCTCCTTCTCGAGCCTTCTCCCGCCGGCCAACTCGGGGTGAGCGCTGGGGTTAGTCAGTGCGCACGTGACGCGCGGTGCCCACATGACACGGCCGTGGGCGGGGGAGGGGGACAGAGGCGCAAAGCAGGGGAAAAGTTGAAGAAGACCCGTCAAAGCGCCCAAAGCAATCTGTCCCTTCCCTTCTTGGTCACCTAGAGGTTCAGAGAGGGGTACTCAGACGATGGCTGAGGACCAAGGCGTCTCCCGTCCGGCTCCTGAAAAGGGGGGCGTAGTTCCCCGCTCGCCCCGTCACCCTATGTTCCTCCCCGCCCTGCTGGTGATGCCGCTGCACCCTCAAGTCCTTCCTCCCTCCCTCTTTCGTCCCTCCTTCCTTCTTTCCTTCCTTCCCTAAAACCTCTTCATCCACTGCGGGCTGTGCCACTGACGCACATTCAATTTGCCCCGGGAGCTCGCCCGCACCTCTGAGGTCACACAAGGCCAAACACCTTCCAAAGTGGAGGGTATAGCTGCGCAAAGTTGCACGCCACACCGCAAACCTGCCCCCTCCCTTCCACTGAGCACCCCTACAGGACCCCCTGCAAAGCTCACTTGCTCTGCCGGGTCCTCCCTCGGCCTGGCCCACCGTCGCGCCACACACCCCCTTCCACACGCGAGCCCACCCTCGCACTGCCCTGCGCCTCGGGCGGTCCAGCCGCCTGGCGAAGCACCGAGCGAGCCGCCGCGCTCACCTTGTTTGACACACTTGAGCCGAAGGGGGTCCTTGCAGTGTTTGATCACGGCCAGCACGTCCCTGATGGTGAGACCCGCCACGGGGGTCTCGTTCACTTCCAGCAGCAGCTCCTCCGACACCAACTTGCTGCCGCTCTCATAGGCCACCTTGCCGGGCTTCACCTCCCCCAGGTAGGGGAACTGTCCATTCTCGGCGCCCCCCTTCAGTTCAAAGCCCAGCTGGCCCTCCGGGTTCCTGCCAATGACACTCTCGTGGACTTTGCTAGTCCAGTGGCTTTTCTTTTTCAAGCTTTTGGACATGGCAGTGGGGTGCGTCGCCTCAGCTTGCTGAGGGGTTCCTTTGGGGTAGGGGAGTTGGTGCTGAGAGAATGAGGATGAGGAGCACGGGGACCAGGAGGTGAGAAGAGCAGACTTTGCCTTCCTGCCCCTTCTGTTCGGTGCTTCCCCTCTTCTTTGGATGGAGTGAGGATGATGAAGGGGGAGGAGGAGAGGGACGGCTGGGCAGAGGTAGGAGAGCTTGGGTGAGGCTGTGCTGCCCCTTGAATGACACTCAAGGCTGTGGCCCCGCAGCAGAGGAGAGCTGTGGCGGAGGCGGCGGCGGCCGGAGCGAGCAGTAGCCGAGCTGCTGAGCGAGCGGCGTGGGGGTGGGGAAGGAGGGTAAGGGATGCCGGGGGCCACTCCTGCGTGGTGCGAGTGGGAGCGCGCGCGCGCGCCCGGGTGTGTGTTGTTAGCCGATATCCATGGTAGCTGCAGTGGCAGCGGCAGGGTCCGTGTGTGTGTGTGAGTGTGTGCGTACTAGTTGTACTGTACCGGCGGGAGGGGAGGAGGGAGGGGAGGAGGGAGCCAGCCGGAGGGGGGAGGGGGAGGGCCGCGCGCGCGCGCCGGGTGGGGAGCCGCTTCGCCGCTGTCTCGCTCCCTCCCTCCGCGGCTTGACCCGGTAGTGAAGGCAGAGAGAGAGGCAGGCTGGGTCCGCCTGGCAGCCTACGAGAGGAGGCGGGAGCGGGAGAGGAGGGGAGCCGAGGCCCGGCGTGGGGAGGCCGGCAGAGAGGGCTGCGAGCTGGTGCGGACCTCGCTGCAGCGTCCACGCGGCCGGCCGGCGCGCTGGGTTACTGCGCCGCGAGGACGCCGGGACTTCCTCAGACCCGGGCTCCACGCGAGCAGAGAAAGCGAGACCCGACTCTCGGCGCGCCCTCGAGCCTGGGGCTCCGGCGGGGCCGTTGCGCCCCAACCCCCCCCCCCCCGCCCCTGCCCCGGTGCGGGACCCGGCGGTGGGAAAGCCGAGCTGGCGGGACCCGGCGAGGAAGTGCGGGGGAGGCCCGGGCTCCCGGCGGCGGAGTTCTCGGCTGAGCGGGGCTTTGTTTCCAGCCAAACTCCTTGCGGAGTTCTCAGAATGCTCCCTCAGAGGAGCGGAAAGTTAGGGAAGTGTAGGCTGGTTACCCAGACGGCGGGGTGCAGGCCGGGGCGGAAACTTAGCGGAGGGGCCGCGTTGTCCGGAGAGAGGCGGTTCCCGGCTCCCAGGACAAGGGGCTTCGCTTTTCCTGGTTAGGAGACGCGGGGCGGAGGGGGCTGTGGCGGGAGACAGGTGGTCTCGGGCAGCCTCCTGGGAGAAAGGAGCTCTACGCCCCAGGACTGTGGCGGAGACGACTGGGGCGCAGCTAAGCCTCAGACTCGGGCTTGCGCCTTAGGGAGAAACCTTACGACGTCCTGGCCCGACAGCTTCCTGCTCCAGTGGAGGAAAAGGGTCTGAGCGAGCTTGAACACCAGGGCCGAATCCGGGCTGGAGCTTAGCCCGCAGGCCCACCACCGGGTTCCTTTCCCTTCAACCGAGTTTGCAGCCGGGAGGAGAGGTGAGGACAGGCGCGCAGAGATGCAGGAGGGCTGCTGGTTTTCATTCAAACGCTACTTTGGTGTAAGATGTTAGGAATAATTTTTTTAAATTTCTGTGACTAGTGAGTGAATTTAATTTGCTGTATTTTAAAATGATAGCGATGAGAAAGAAAAAAAGTCGCACACCCACTCTTCTCTTTAAAGCAAAGCACGAAAAGGACTGAGCAGTTAAGATTTTTGATGTCTGAGGCGAAGAGAGTGTGGGAGGCAAGCGGTTCAGTTAAAAACGTGTAGTCCACCCAAACACAAAGAGTCTGAATTGAATTCAGACTCTGCTACTTACCAAGAGTATACTCTTGAATTGATTGCTTGACCATTCCGAGCCTCATTGTCTTTATTTGTTAAACCGGATTAAAAATACTAATTTGATAAGACATGATAAGGATGAATCAGGTGATGCATACAAAATGCTTGCCTGGTACAGGTGGGTAGACACCCAAAATAGTCACTTCCTTCCTCTTTTCCTCGCAAGTGTAACTCATTATTTGGGGGAAGAGGAGGATCAAATTTAGTCAGAACTGGAAGAGTTATTAAAGAAACATGATTTATTTAAACGTGTCT